CTCTCTCTCTCTCTCTCTCTCTCTCTCTCTCTCTCTCTCTCTCTCTCTCTCTCTCTCTCTGAGTACAGAGACCCCTAGAGCCCTTAATGAAAAGCTGGGCTCTTGAGGAGTACTTACTGAATGACCAGCTGGCAACAATTTTAATGCGTGCCTGCATCTGAAGCTGTGAGCATTAGCCAACAGGTTGAGAGGGATCAATCGAGACTTACAGGACTCCTTACCATCTTCTCTATTCTTCATACATCAAACGCCCTTTGCTGAGGGTTCTGTCTGTCAAGTGCTCTGCTAAGTGCCAGGTAAGCCTTGAAGACTCGGTATTTGTCCTCAAGTAGTTCAGAGGCGCTCACTGTATCTTTCTCTTTATTCCACACTTGAAAGACAAAGTTCAGGCCTCTCTCTCCTCCCTGCCCGGCCTTTCAAGAACTCACATCCTGATGATTTCCTCCTCTTAGAACTAGTCTGCTTCTCCAACTGACTCGTAGACCTCGCTGCTGATTGAAGAGTCATATAAAATCAACATGCCTAAATCAACTCTCAGCCATCAGATTGTGCCTTTTGTGGTCCATTCAATGCAGACTACTAGATAAATCATTCTAAAATGACACCCTTATATTTTCATCATCCTACTCGAATCCACTTAATGGCTGTATATTACCTACTACTTCCCCACACAACTGTATTCACACGGCAGGTTGAATGAAGCCTTCGCCCCCGAGAAGTAGCAGTTCTACTGAAAACAGATGTATAGAAACAAGCTAAGTAGTGAACAAGGACATTTCATATGATAGGAACATATTCACCCAGGTATTAAAGTTTTTATTCTCAACACAGTTACTCATTTAACAAAAATCCCCAGGCACACAGAGCAGTTAGTTCCTTCTTTGCTTCTCCATATGATGACTAAATCCAATAGGTGATACGAGTAGATACTGATAGGAGGCCTTTTAAGGTGGAGTCTCCCGCCTCAACTCCCCACTGCATTCTTTGTTTTGCAGCAGAAGAGAATTGCAGGAGAGGGGCAATCCTTGCAGATGGCTCCCAAGCCACGTCCTTACTCGCTCTGCTGTGCTCTTCCATGTCCCTTGAGTCTATCCTGACGTTCTCCCCCTGCCCACATCCACGAAAGGACCACTTTCCAAAAGTAGCTTTGACTCTGCATCACCCTGGTAAGTCCCGATCCCCAGTGAATGGAAGCTAGCTCCAAGGAGCAGACTTCTTGGGTGATGCTACAGGCTGCTTGATCAAGATTCCCTACGACAACACTCTTCTCACATGACTTGTTTGTGTCAATTGTGTGTGGTGGCAGAACACAGGGAAAGGAGCGGTCAGAGAAGATTTAGCAGTGGAGAAGGAGCCAAGCCGGGTTTTTGAAGAATAGAAAGGTATTGGATCTCGCGTATGTGCCTCATATGTGAATCGGTGAGGAGACCAGGAAAAATTGATTTGGCTAAATATAGGGCGGTGAGACCAGGGATTCTAGATGAGACAAGATGTCTCCTTAAAATGCAGGTATGGAGGAAAATCCCGGTTTTGTTTTCTTTGATCTCTTGCATCATCTTTCATTTTTAGCTTTTCAGGACGTATACTTACCATGTCAGTGTCTGAGACGGGGCCAAAACTGGTCACGTAGATGTCCGTCTTGACTTCAGTCACTGCATCTGAGTGAAACAAAGTAGAAAAGCTGAGTGTCATGAGAGTCTGATGCCCTCACTGAGACAGAGTCCGATACAGTAGCACAGTACTCTGAAGGCAGACAACTTTGTACTCCCACGGAAGGGTGTCTCGGTCTGACACAGCTGTAGGAAGCCCCCCAAGAAACTTCTCACCTGTACTACTCCTTCACAGAGAACATGCGAGGTTTAGGTATGAAGTAGGTATACTCTTAGATAGCGCTGAAAATCACAGCAGGATCCACAGACTACGCAACTCAAAGAGGGCCCTTGGAGATCCCTGATATTCACCCACCCTGGGCTCTCACACTGTGCTTACCTTAACTGTGGTAGTTTACAAATGTTGCAAGATCCAATTCTCCTCAACTTCCAGGAACACAGGATCATTGTACTCCCGATCCCTAGACCACTTAAAGTAGGGAAGGGTAGCATGACAGGTTCTAGTTGTGGGAAGAAGTAATCAGTCCCCCTAAGGCTGGAATTGTTAATGTCGAATGCAAGACCCTCTATGCCAGAGTGACTGTGGAAACGTATGTTGACGTGGTGCTGCCATAAGATTAAAATAGTCGGGAATGATGTACTAACACGTGGAGGACAACTGCCTGGGACAGTTGGCTGGGTCCACAAGAGACTTTGCATGAATGGCTAATAAACTTTTGTTGGGTTCAATGACCAAGATTTGGAGATCACTGATATCACTTGGTGCACGCTCTTTGCACTCATTTTCCTTAAGTGCACTGTTTACTTGGCTGCATTCCTATCCAATCTAAGAGCTTCTGAAGGGCAACAGCCTCGTTCTGTCTCTGTATTTTAAGCACATAGAATAGGGGCTTGTTAGTAATATGGTGCTCATTAAACATTTTTGTGTTGCTGGATGAATGTCATCACATATCTGCCATGTTGGAGAACGATACTATTATTATTTTAATCTCTCTGTAGACTGAGTTGCAGATTTGTACATTGAGTAGTCTATTGCTTGTTGTTGGCCACAGCAAAAACCCTAGACTTGGTAATTTATAAACAATAGAAATGATCGTTCACAGCTCTGGAGTCTGCGAAGTCCAAGGTCAAGTTACTGGCAGACCTGATTTCAGATGAGGGCCCATTCCTCACTGATGGTGCCTTCTGTATCCTTACACAGTGGGAGGGGCTAGGAAATGTGCTTTAGTCTCTTTGATAAAGGCACTAATTCCATGCATGTTCCAATCACCTTGAAAAGGGCCCACCTCCTAATACTGCCAAATTAGGGATTCAGCCAATTGAATACTGGAACACACTTATACACCCACACGCACACACACACACACACACACACACACACACACGCCACAGCAGATTGCCAAGAAGCACAGTAATCTCACTGTTGGGTTTCTCTTTTCCTGCTTCTGTCATCCCTGTTTATCTCACTACATCCCAGCCAGCCCACTCACACCTGCATATCTCAAAGAGAGCACAAGCCAAGACAGCCTGCTCCATCCCGGAAAAGCCCATTCCAGCCTACCACAGGCCTCATCGCTCCACTAAATCAGAAAGTCCCACTCCAGGTCGGCATACCTGGTCCCACTGAGCATATCAGTAACACGGCTAGCATCAACAGACCCCACAAAAGATTCAGTATCTATTTAATGGGGCAGAGAAGTGCAGTCTAAGGTACTACATCTTTTCTTTCATGCAGAGCTGGGGCATTTGCCTCCTCTACATGTACTACTCATAATCTTGCTCTTCTACCTTTCCTTTTCCCTTCCGTCTTCTCCCATCTCCCTTCATTTCACATTGCTTCCTCTCCAACCCTGGATCCTCATGGGATGTGTTTTATATCTTGCTAAGTTCTCGCCTTCCAGAACTGTCCCTAAGGCCTTATATATTGGGCACTACTGAGGCACTACCGTGTTCTGTATACTCAAGGCCCTTGCACTTACCCACAAACACTGCATTTTTAGGAGAGACTATAAGTATCATTTAGTAATAATCAACGCTGTAATCAATTCACCAAAAGACACAACTTACTCCCAAGATTAATCAGCTAATAACATGTCTCTGAAACTAAAATTGCATTTTAAGCAGTTGGGTTCTCATTGAGAACAGAGGCTTCCCTTGGAGCTATTTTTGTACTTGAAGGCACAGAACCACACCCCCAAATCCATAACATGATCTCCAAATGTGTGTCCCTCTCACATACCTGGGTAGGCTCACTGGCTGGCAAAGCAAAGGCAAATATACCTACACAATGGCATAATGATCTCCAATTTCCCTGCCCCAAAGTCCATGAAACAAAACCAGTCAACGGAAGAGATCACAATCACACTGGAATCCCAAATGATGAACAAGCCATTACGGACATAGAACAACCTTCTTCACCAATGGAACTGGAGAACTGTAAGACAGTAATGCATATTTCCAACGGGTAACTAAGCCTGCAGGAAGAAAGGAAGACAGAAAAATGAGGAAAGCCTGTAAAACTGATGTGTATGGTAGAACTAGACTTATCGGGAAAGACTGCCCAATGAAAAGTGACAAGTACTGGGAGTGTAACACAGTGGCACAGAGCCTGCCTGGCAAGCACAAGGTCCTGAGTTCAATTCTCAGTACCAAAAAAAGAAGAAGAAACATAAAACCACTGTGAAGTGACAAAGGAAGATCTCTCACCAACATCCTTCCTCCCCCTGCTCCCAGCCTGTGTCCTAAGGACACCAGTAGAAAAGCCAAGTGGCGGCAGGCTGCTCTAATTAAGGGAAAATAGAGTCATTGTGGATAGAAAAGGAAGTGACGGTAACCAGCAACCTTAGCCTGGATGAAAAGTATAGGTTCCGGATCTCCCCCCCTCACTTACTGAGTGCCTTACACAAGATTTTTTTTTTCTTTCAGCTATGCTTTTGTAGCAGCAAACGATGGTTGGGAAGTTTATTCTAGCACTGGGACTGGTATACTGGACACTAAACTCCTTCCTCTATTTCTAGCCCATTCAGGAAGACTGGCAGGTAAGAGAATTAGGGGAAGCAATGTGAAATGAAGGGAGATGGGAGAAGACAGAGGGGAAAAAGAAAGGTAAAAGAGCAAGATTACGAGGAGCCGATTAGAGGACAAAGAAGGAAATACAGGATGGATGGGAAGAAATAAGACAGTGAATAGAACAAAAGAAAGAAAGTAATAAAAGACATACAGTGGTAGAAACAAGAAGTAGCAAGAACCAGAGAGAGGAGAATGGGAAAGCAAGAGAGAGAATAATACTAAGAGATAAAAAGAGAGGTAATAATCTTCTGAGTAGAGGAGCTAGAAATCCCTCCTGCAGTGAGGGTGCAGAGAAGGAATTCTTCCTGGTATCCTGCCAGCACAGGTGGAGGTGTGCTCTGAGTTCATATTCTGGGCCCCAGACATAGAGGGGAGCATGCATGTAGCCCCCCAGCTCCTTAGCATGAAGAAAAAATTAGGAGTTGATAATTTCATTTAACTGAATGCAAAGAGCAGCTTCTTTTTCACCACTGCTTACAGATGCTCCTTGGCTATTTCTTCATTCACTTTGGGAATGTAATTTCCTTCCAGTGTAAAGCTTATTGGGTGATGAAGCAAATGCCTATCTGCCTACTGTATGGTACAATGGCCTCTAATTACCTTACCGCCAATTACATGCATCAAACTGAATTAATTAATTAAAGAGGTCACAATTAAATTTGAATACAATATTCCACGCAGGACATACTAGACCCAGAAAAACTTTCTAAAGCAATTGTAAAATTGTAAGAAACAAAAGGTGAATTATCTTTTCCATTCAAAAATGTACTGCAGTATTGGAAGTGCTTCAATAGTCCTGAAATAACCCACACATATATGCATTAAGTGCACCTAAATATGTGGGGACACACACACACACACACACACACATACACCCTTAACCCTCACCAAGATTACTGTTGTTGGAGAACACAGGGACGAGGTCCCACAGTATTTCTGCTTCCTGCTGATCTGAAAAAGCCAATCTTATCAGTCAATCAGCAACTGATTACAGTGTTTTTGTTGAGTGTATTCTCACAATAAGCTGTATCTAATTTAACTTCAAAAACATGCCCAAGAAACCTTGAATTCTCTCCCTGAGAACTCTGAATTTGGTCAGCAAGCAGTCTTTGTAGGTTTCCCAATTCTAGCTGGTGTACCCCAGCATGCATACACGAACTTCATCTTAGCACTGCCCTCTGGATCAACACGACAAAGTGTGCTCCCTGTTTCTTTTGAGATCTAAAGAGCTTCAAAGATTTCAAGAAAGTGAGTATTGTACACCCATGTCTGTTCTTCTTCATCCTTTTCAAACTAAGCAGCCCAGCTTTCTTAGACTATGTCTCGACTTTTTCATTCTTTTGACCCTCGTTATCCTTTATTCACTTTCCTCTGGCTCTGGCAGACCCTCCAACCCTCTGAAATACACTTTGTGATAAAAGTTTGGCACAATTCCATGAGACATATGATCTTGAGATAAATGATATAAAGAAAAGCCAACTACCCCTGTGTATCTCATTATGGGCCCATTGCAAAGCCATTCTTCCTCATAATAGTGAGACTTGAGAGCTGTTTGTTTGTTTGTTTTACCAGGAGAACAACTGACCAACTTGTCTTCTCACTTTCAAACTGCAAGGAATTGGGGAAAAGGATTATTTATTGTTGTACATACTTTTCATCTTATAGAGGGAACAGGGTCCTAGAAATGAGATACCATGTGACTAGCTATGTCACTTAGGGAATGAGTTCCAATGACTTCTGGACAAACTCCCCGAAATGAGAATTAAAGTGTTCTGATCTCAAGCCAATGGCCTTTTCAATTGTCTTTGACAAGTTTTTAGGACTGAGATACTATATGTACTCATCAGTACCCTTCTGTATCATTCATCATAGAAAATCTCTGGAAGAATCAACAGGTAGCTTAAGGAAGCAGAAATTACTTAATATTCTGCCACAACTTCTGAGCTGCTTTGTGAGTTCTGTGGCTGCTTCATAACCCG